AGTGAGAAAGAGGTTGGATGAGAGAAGGAGAGAGAGAGGACTCAGGGCAGCGTGTGTGATCAAGCGGGTATGAGAGTGAGATGGTGCGTGCGCGAGTGTGTGTGTGAGAGAGGGAGAGTGAAAGGGAGAGAGATGAAACTGAGGAGAAAAACAGCAGCAATCTGAGCTAACTTATGGCTTACTGCAGGAGAACAAAGCTCAGCGAGAGGTGTCGGGATATTTCAGCTAACTTTTTGACATGGTCTTGGTAGAACGTCCGTCATTTTTCACACACAACACGAATTCAAGATCGGTTTCAACCCGCCTCAAGGGGACTTCAAAACTGATGTTTTGACCGTTGGGATTTCCTTCTCAACAAAGTTCAGGCATCATCCGGGCATGAGGCGCCATCGTGATTTCTGCTTGGTGACGGTGCTTGTATCCCGGATCAAATCAAGCACGAAGATTGACAAAAAAGAAACTTCGTATTAATCAGTCTTCATCCCGAACGCCGTCATGGCCGAGTAAGGGTACTAAATGATCCTTAAGAGCATCAGAAGCTGCTGTCCAATCAGCATTTGCGATTTCTTACAATAAATAAATGAGTAAATAATTAAAAGGGGAATCGGGTCTCATACAAGCGCAACTATGGAAAACCATATTGAAGTGTGGGACTGCACGGCCGAAAGAACCATGCAGTTACATATTTATTTATTTATTTCCTTTTATTCGTGGCAATCTACGGGAATGAATAGTTAAAGATTTATTTTATTTTATTTTTTTTATTCGTGGCAATCTATGGGAATGAATAGTTAATTGCCTTGTAGGTGGGAAGATTCGTGTCCCTCCCCTATGCGGCAAAAAGAACGGGTCAGCCCTGCGACCCCGGGCCAATGACTGAAGTGCCTCTCGGCTTCATAAAATTTGAGGACGGTACTTGTCTGAGAATATTTCAGGAAAGCCCCCATATACCGATGGAGTACAAGGGGCAGAATATGCAGAATATGCCCCTGATTTCAAGGGCTACTGTAGCTCATTGCAGTTAATCCCAAAATACAATCAGTTTTTCCTGAAAATCCGAGTTCTTTCTGGAGCAGCATTGGGCAAGGGCTCGGTCCCGACCTCTGGACTGCAGACCTGAAGAAAATTTTCCATTACTAAATGTCTTCCATCTAATTACTCTCTCATCTCCGCATGCAATAAGAGTTTTCAAATTCACTCTTCGAGGGGGACCGTGACAGGCAGAACAAACCCCACTCCCCTGCTGCGTCACTGAGGACCTCTGATGCGGACACGGCGGGTGACAGACGCCGMTGTCCTTGGCTTCAGCGACGAACAGGGCCCCTCCCCGGGTTTCCTCACAGCGCGACCACGCCCCAGCACCGACCAGCGTCGTTCTGGCCTCGTCCATTCACAAACCTCTAAATTCACGGGAATCAGCAAACATCAGACAAGCCGCCGACATCACCATAATAATGGTTTCAATGCCTCCAACTCCTACAAGAGCTGGTTGCAGTCTTTCATCAAACCCATATATGTATCCTTCACAACCCCACTCCGACGAAAGAAAATCAAGGAAAAATTGAATTACTTTGTAATTTTGTTTAAATTAAAAGAAAAAGAAATTTAAAAATGTAATCCGCTAAGTTTTTCTTCTAAACCTAGTAAAAGCTAACAAAATTTTTCTCACGTCGAGCGGGGCTGTGAGGTGTGCGTGCGGTTGTGCGCAACACTCAAAACCCTAATTAGGGGAAACCCTAATTAAGGTAAAACCCTAATTAGGGTAAATTCCTTACCCCATTTTTGAGAGAAGCGGGTAAATAAAGGGAAGTCATAGCTTCTAGCCTCCCCATTTGTTGCAGATTATTTTTCGTTAGATGTATCCCGCAAAATTGTGAAAATTAATTCGGGAAATTTTGCTCCATTGAATAATTAAAAATTAAATTAAAAATTAAAATAGTAAAAATCAGTAAAAATTCAAGCAGCCAAGATTTCGACTTTGTTTATCTTCCTTTTTTTCCTTCTCACTTTCTTAATCAAGGGAAAATCTTTCGAACCCCACCCCAACGGGAGGAGGCGAAACGCTGCCAAAATTTTAGTAAATTCCCAAAATTTTATTTCTACTCCTAAAAATCTTCAAACTCGGCGGGCTTATATATGTATTCATCCTTAATATATATAAACTAAGAAAAAGATTTTATCCTAACTAAATATATTTTTTTTAATTTATAATTGAAAAATACAAAAGAATTTCCTAGAGGAAGAAGGGAAAGAGACGCTGCAGTAACCAGGTTTCGGGTGAACCTACTGGCTTTATCCCGAAGGCCTGAGGCAAGTGACCGGAATTTTCAGTTCTTAAAGCTATTTTTTATAATTATTTGTCAAATATTCGGATTAAATCAAAAGCAAGGGGGAGAAGGAAGCACGGCATAACTCGCGACTCACTAGGGTTTTCATTACATCCCCCTATGCGTTGAGCGCGAGGTAGTGTTTTCTTCTCGTTTATAAGCAATTTTTTACTAATTTAGACGATTAAAAATCTCTTAAAATTGCGAAAAATACTTAAAACTTCCAAGAGTGAGTACGCTCGGCTCTTAATTTTTGGTTTTTACTAGGGAACAGGGTCCGTTGCTCGGATACCTACTCAAGGGTGCAGTAAACAGAACTCCCTCGAGTTAAGCCCACGCCTTATATTCGAGGGAACTCGAATATAAGACCTATAGGCCAATCCGAAACCGGGATTTCAACACCCTTTCCTTTTGAGATCAGGCTAGATTAGTACGTCTTCGGTGCGGCTCCGATCCGCAAGGGTTCGGTCGATCTGCGGAAAGTTTCAGTTAGACTGTCATCGCGCCTGCTTCCTAATCCCTTCTGTACTCCTCTCTACCAATGTCAATTGAGTTTCTCTCGCATCCCTATTTCTGACTATTCTGAGTCTTCCTTTTCTCATACGACAGTTTGCTGTTAGAGGTGTTCCCCCATCCCGCCCGCCCTTCTCACTAAGCTTTTTGCATACTGCAGGGTGCCGCTGATCAGGGTTGCGGCCCTCCCACCACCTCTTCTCTTGGGTTCTGCTAACCAGGGTTTGTGACGCTCCCGGGCAACTCAAAATGGGTCCGGGTTGTCGCCCGTAAGCTCTAATTTCAAGCCAGCCCAACGCCCCAACTAAAGAAGTTCCTAGCGTAGTTGTTCGAACATAAAAAACTGTTCACAAATAGGTCTTGGCTGCGAGTTCTGTCACAGGTCCGGGCTGCTGCATCTGTCATAGGTCCGGGCTGATAACGCCTGGCGTAAGTGCCCAACTACCGCTTCTGGTGGCCTATGGAACCAGACACGATGGGGCCACAACCGACCACGGGCGAAGCGGGTGAGGAGTACAGGACATCGCCCAACCGAGCGCTGAGGGATCTGAAGGAACGAATTAGGCAGGAAGCACCACTGAGATAGGCTGACCTAACCAATGACGGAGAACCCGATGTAATGGGCGAGCCGGTTGTGACAGAGCCGGAGGAGACTTTGAAGACTGGGACGTCGAGCGCTCGACGAGAAGCGACGACACGACGCTCCCCCGAGTGTGAACGGAGGCAAACTAGGGCGGATAGACGCAGGGACGACTGGAGAGAGAGTTCACGAGATTCCTATTGGAGGGACAGAGATAGGGATAGAGCACCGTCCTGACGTGTCTTCGACCCCCAGAAGGGGGAGTCACATCCGCTCCCTTACGAGCGCAACGATCGCTATATTATTACGCACAAGGCCTTTGAGTCTCCTACCTTCAGGGGCTATGGTATCACAGAATATCTGGAGAAGTGGGAGTTTCATGCTAGCCGGAGTCAGTGGTCGGAGGAAGAGATTATAGAAAACTTCCTATTTAATGTAGATCCAAGTCTCGGCAAGGAAGTTAAGGAAGTCCGACCGAAGGATGGAAAGTGGACCACGTATAAGAAGAATCTCATTGAACTTTACAAGTTGGAGGATAACAAGTACTCCATTAAGGATCTTGAGACCATGATTCAAGATGAGGACGAGAGCGTTCGGGCATTCGGGAAGCGTTTCCAGAAGATTTATGACGTGCTAATGGAGAAGGGAAAGATCTCAAAGGTCGAGCGCTGTACTATTTTTATTGGACACCTGTCCAAAGGCAGACAAAAGAGTATACTTAGAGATCTCCCGCGCGACAAGCTTGACTTCCCTGAAGTCCTAAAGCTCGTGATAAAGGCAGAGACAGACGACTACAAAGACTTGGTATGGAGGGGAATGAGGAGACGTGATTTCTCTCTCTATAAGGAGTGAAGGAGATAAGGGACATGGTAAAGGGACACTGATAGATGCCCTGATTTCAAGGACTATCCCTGGTCGGAAAAGAATGAAGTTGTGGCTAAGGAAGTGAAGGAGATAAGGGACATGGTAAAGGCATTGACAAGACAGTTTACAGAGATTGTGACCACCACAGGAGCTACGACTTACCGGGACAAACCCGGAGGGCCCTATTCACTTCGCTGGGACCGTAGCAATACCGATTCTTGGAGGAGTGTCGAGGATAGAAACCCTCGGACGCTGACTGATTATCGTGCGAGGGAAAGGGAGAGAGACGATGAGCCATGGCGACGAAGGGATGATGAGATAGACCAATACCGCAGGGTTCGCGAGACGTATGGGCGAGCACGGCGACGGGATGATTACTCGCGCAGCCCTCGATATGAGGCTGATGGGGGTAGGAGCGACCCACGAGGTCGATGGGAGTCGGACCAGGACCGACAAGACGGATACAGGGACGACAGATATGAGAGGACGGACCGAGATGGATACAGGGGTGGCAGGTATGAGAGAGGAGATCGAGACGGAGACTGACGAGATGACTCGCGCGGACGATATGACCGCGGGGGATACGCGAGGGCACAACGCGACGATTCGCAGGGGTGGTACGACCGAGGAGATTGGCGCGATGAGTCACGCGGGCGATACGACCATGAAGACCGCCGGAATGACTCAGGGGGACGATATGAGCAAGGAGGATCTGGAGGAGACCGCCGCAATGATTGGAGCGGGCGGAATGAGAGAGGGGGATATGGCGCGTCGGCTGATCCGTATCCAAAGTCCCCTAATCCCAGAGCAGCCAGGGGTTCGATCTCTAGGAGCGCAGACGACAGGCCGCCCACTCCCAGGAACTCTTGCGTCTACTGTAGAGGGGATGATCATATCAAGAGAGACTGCCCAGATCTCAAACGGGCAATAGATAAGGAACTTGTCGTGCTTGACGACCGCAAGTACGTCAAGTGGGCAGATGATCTGGGAGACGTATCAATGTTCCCTTCGATGAAGGAGAATGTGAAGCAAGGAGAGTAAAACTAGGTAAAGGAAAGGAGTCGGTTAGGAGCCATAGCATCAAGATAACTTTCAAAGAAGATATGGCAACTACACCCATAAGAGTGGCAGCTACCAAGTCGGCGAAAGGGTCTACATCGAGGAAGACCAATACGGATTACGTGATGGCAGAGAAGGACGGACAGCGGATCGATGGAGAGGAGGTTATTCTTTCACCGCGAAAGCGGGGAGTGAAGAAGTTTTTGATGAACAGTTCGCTACATGATATTGACACGGTCGAGTCACTGAGACGATTCCTTCGGCAGCCCATGTAGTGCTCTATTTTGGAATATCTGGCAGCATCCAAGCCGGCTCGCGACGAGTTACAGATGATCACGCGGAAAACTCGCATACCTCTATCGGAGGAGGTTCAGGTGACCCCTAAGGCGGAAGCTCCTACTGTAGCAGTATCAGAGGTGACAGCTAGAGCAGATCGCATGGCGGCAGTTCTTCTTGATGGGATGGAAGGCGTGCCTCCAGACAAGTTTTACATACTTGGAATTGGGGTCGTGGAGGCGATCCTAAACGACGGAGCGGTTCTAGATGTTGTGATCGATAACGGCAGTGAGGCTGTCATTATAGACGAGGATCTGGCAGAGCAAGTTGGACTGGGCCTCGATAGGTCATACCTATTCGAGATAGAGACGGCTGATGGGAGAAAGCATCAGATCACAGGGGTTTGTCACAAGGCAGCCATAGAGGTCCAAGGGGTACGAGTGACCGTGCCAGTCTTTGCAGTCAAGAACTGCAGCTCTGACCTGCTCTTGGGACGGACGTGGTTGAGCCATGTGCATGTGGTGACGATAGAGCGACCGGACAGGAACCAGACATTGTCCATTAAGAAGCTAGATGGGACGCGGGATATGATTGAAACGGTGGGGCCTCGAGACCCGAGGAACAGAGCAGCTCTCGTTGTGGGTGCGGGACCCAGTGATCGGATCAAGTCATTACCTATCTCCGGCCGCGCGGTGCGATTTCGCGAGAAGAAGTATGGACCTCTGCTCACAGAAGAAGAAGGCCGGATTGTAGAAGTGGAAGATTTAGGAAATCGGTTGATAATGGATGAGAACTCTTATCCAAAGGAAAGGAACGAAGAATTCGGCGGCGTGATAACTGTGTCTTTTTTAAGGGCACAACCCCCCTACGCGGAGCAACCCAAACACCACAAACGAGTAGCTCAGAAAGTTAAACCTGTTGCGGTACGTCGAGAGCGATCTGCGCTAGGAGGAATATCTGAAGAGGAGATCTCCAAAGAGATTAAGGAAAGAAAAAAAAAAAATCCGTTGCGTAGGATAGCAGAGATGGATATCGAACGTAACACCGCAGGAAAGAGAACGAGTACTAAGGGTATTCAAGACTTGCGATAAGGCTATAACTTTCAGCGACGCGGAACGGGGCCGAATTGACCCTCGTTACTCTAAACGAGCGAGGATCTGCACGATTTCGCACACTCCACAATCGGAGCGGTTTTTAGCAGCGCTCGTCGGGGGTGTGTTTGTTCGGAGGGATTTTACCGAATTTTTTTCACCTTTCCCGCACAAAACCGGAGACGTGCACTCTTAGAAACGCGGTAATTAAACATTTGTTTATTTTTATTATTATTATTAATCGTTAATTAAAACAAATATTCCGTCATAAAATTTTCTCTTTTAACGTGCACCCATAGACACAAATTTTGATTTTTCCATCGGGGATTGTGGACCTACCACCCACCTCGTCTCTTAGATACTGCTGACTAGGGGTTGCAGTCCTCCGGAACAACTCTAAATGGGTCCGGGCGACAGCCCGGAGGCTGTCGCCCGGAGGTTCAATTTGAGTTTGCGCAAGTTGAGGGCTCGACGGAGGGTCGAGAAGAGGTCCGGGATAGCTGTCGGGCGGCCTCAGGCAGTGGGCCACCCGAAAAAGCGGTTTTAAGTCTTCGCCCCGATGACTAGACCGTATTTTGACGGTACTCTTGTTTGGTCTGTCCGGGAAAATTAGGGTTACCCAGAGCACCCCTAATTTTGGATGTGTTGACCACTTAGAGTAACCCTCAAATTAATGAGGGGAGTTACCGTTTCTACCACGCTGTGCCCCACCTCTCTTCCGCTTGCTCCGAGTCTATTCCCGAAGCAGCTAGCCGCGAGATGGGAATACGGGAGTAGGCCTTCGCATGACCGTTTTACTTTGCACAATTGGAGCGGGAATGGAGCCTCGGATTTCATTAATTTTAATACCAGAATATGAAAATGGAAAAAGGAATTAAGAACAATAGAAGCAAAGAGAAAAACGGGATATTCTTTATTTTATTAATTTTTTTGGGTATTTAATTTTAATGGAATCACTGTCGTTATTTGTTATTTCCAGTAATAGAATCAAAAATAGGGAAAGGAATAAAAAACAATAAAAGAAGAAGAAAACAAAGAAAATTTTGTTATTTAATTGAATTTCATCGGGATTCATTTTTGTTGCAATTATTTTTATTTTTATTATTTTTGAAGATAGGATTAAGAAATAAGAAAAATAATTAAAAATGATTGAAAGGGAATAAAATTAATGATTATTTAATATTTGATTAAATTCTGTTTAAATTATTCGTGATGGGTTTGGGGCCGGATTATTTATTTACTCTGATTTAACGATCCTCCCTATTCTCCGATAATTGAGATCGCTCACGTGACTTACCTGATATATCTGGATACTAGCGTTGCCGCAGTTAGTGTGTTTCGAGAGAGCGGGGCCGCATGGTCAGTGGGGGTTGGTGCTACCTTTGCCTGACGATTGCTTCGATATCACGCTCGGTATTGGCTCGACATCGACATGTTTCAGGTTCGGTAATGACTCGGCGTCCGTACGGAACAGCCCACTGCAGTTCGGGACAGTTGCCTCAGGTTCGGTGTTGATTCGGCGTTGGCATGACACTGCTCGATATGTGTCTCAGATTCGGTTTTAGTTCAATGTCGACATCGGGTTGCAGCGCCGCGTCACTACTACTTTGTGTGATCACTGGTTTGACCCCGAGACAAAATTCCGCGGTTTGGTACTTTTCCTTTGATACCGTCACTGGTCCGACATTGATGAGACTCACAGCAACCTGTTGCTACTAATTGGTGCTACACTACTCCAGCTTGGTGTTGATTAATGATACGGATTTGGCTCAACGACGGTCTGTTCACGCTGGTTCAAGTTTGGTACGGTATACTGATTCTAGGCAAGTTCGACGACGGTACCACTGCAGATTGGCCAATGGTACAGCACAGGCAACGTACTGCGGTAGCATACTATGGCCTGCTCCTTTTCTTTCCAAGCTCAGTAACTGGTGATCAGAGACACTGCAACTTGACTTCGTTCATTCCACTCTACTCTGACTCGCCACTAGCTGTTTATAGCAGTCCCGTGGATTTTTCCCTGGTACGGTACCTGCTATACGAATCAACCTGGCATATTTTTGTTGATACAGATCTCACTGGGCCTGGTGCCTGGCCCATTTTTCCCAATGCAGGCCACGCAGACCTCGTACCGGCCCTGCTTTTGCTAATGCAGGGTAAACTGACAGTCTCTTGAGGCCACAGCCTCTGGTACCAGGAGGATATAACGAGGATCAACTGGTCTGGTAGGCGATTCAGACGGAGGCAGTCTCTTGCTACATGCAAGGTGTACCCCGTCCACGTCGCTTATACTGATGATGTCAACGGGGAGCAGTGCACAGGCGGTTACAGGAGATGGAGACGGGGGCAGTCCCTCGCGGCATGCAAGGTGTACCCCGCCCACGTCGCAGATACGGATGAAGTCAACGGGCATCTGGACATGGAGACGGGGGGAGCTTTTCCGAAGCATGCACGGTGTACACAGCCCACCGCTGCCAACGCTTGTTGAAGTCAACAGACACGGACAGTGAACGGCGTCGAGCGCAGTGAACGTACCTATTCGCGAGGCACTGTGGTTCAGTGCTGGTTACGGTTAACGGTAGCTATGGCGGCCGCTTGTTTGTGTGAGCAGTATGAGAGAGAGGGACTTTGCAATGTGAGAGAGAGGGACTGAGCACTATGAGAGAGAGAGACTGTGCACTGTGGGAGGGAGAGAGTGCGCAGAGTGTGAGAAAGAGAGTGCACTGGTTGAGAGAGAGAGTGCGCTGAGAGAGAGTAAGTGCGCTTGTGTGTGAGGGAAGACAAGAGAGGAGCAACGAGGCAAACTGGAGGAACTGTATGCCTGGTGTTCACAGTAGGGTGCAAGAAAGATCCGCCACGCTGGCGGCGTAATCGGCCATTACCGCTGGAGGGGAGAACAACATTACTGTTGGTGGAAGAAAAATGGTTGCTGCTGGTGGCGCAATCAGCGACTCCCGCTGGGAATAGGCTCAACTTTTCCGATGGTGATGAAGACTATCAGCCCTTTCCGCTGATGATGAAATCATACATCCTGCTGTTAAGGGGAACTGCTATTTTTACTGATGATGAGATCATTCATTCCACTGTGGTGGAGACCCCCAGCGAGGACAACCATTCCACTGCAGATGAGAACAGCCCGTTTCGCTAATAAAGAGATCATTCATCCCGCTGTTAAGGGGAACTTCTATTTCCTTTGATGATGAGATCATTAATCCTGCTGTTCAGGGAAACTTCTATTTTCACTGATGATGAGATCATCCATCCTGCTGTTAAGGGGAATTGTTATTTCCACTGATGTTGAGATTATTCATCCTGCTGTTAAGGGAAACTGCTATTTCTACTGATGATGAAATCATCCATTCCACTGTGGAGGAGAACAGCCATACGAGCCATCCCACTGTTGAGGGAAACTGCCATTTCTCATGGG